TGTAGCCCAGGCTGACCTCAAACTCATGGTGGTCCTCCAACCCCAGTCTCCTGACTCCTGAGTGCTGCAGTTACAGTTCTTTTTTATTTTTTACTTTTTCTTTTGAGACAGATCTCTCTGTGAGGACCAGCCTGGCCTCATGCCTGTGGTCCTCCTGCCTCAGACGGCCCAGCCGCTGGGTCATGGGAGGCACCCTGCTTGGTCCTGTGTTTTTCGTTGGTGGATCATGCTGGATGCACTGGGGAGGTTTTCACAGTGCAGGTATCAAGCCCGGCCTGGATCCTGTGCTGGGCGGAGCAGGGCCAGCCTGCTGTGCAGACTGAGTCCCTTCATGCTGATTAATGTATCTGTCACCAGATGTTGCTTCTTTTTGGCGGGTGAGGACATTTTCAGTTTGGGGTGTGTGTCATTGTCACCCACATGGCTGTGATTCAGGAAGTCTCCAGAAGCCCAAGTGCCCTTAGGGGAGACTGGGCTACGGGCCAGGGACCACCTGGTGGCGGTGTGGACATCTGGGCTTATCTATCTTTGGAGCTCAGCTGGCCGGGCCCTCCACCCCAGCCAGAGAGCCTGTCCTCCTGGGCCACCATTGTCCCACAGAACAACTTTTGTGTTCACAGTCGGGGCGGGCACAGGGAGCAGAGTCCTGGACAATGACCTACAGGCAGGATGGACAGTGCCACATTACATCGTGGCAAATAGGAAGCAGGTAGCATCCTGGTCCTCAAGGGCTCTGTCACGGGGCAGAACACTGGTGGCTCAGTCACCCCAGCTCTAGGTGGTCACAGTTCCGGGACCAGGACTGGGCCAGGAAAGTGCAGGGGGGGAGGACCTGTCCTAGACCATGTATGTTGCCTTCTTGTTGTGCCTTCCTGCTTGGTATGGGGTCCCTGCTATTCCTGACCCCCCATGGCCTTGCACCCTGACCCCATATGGTGGGCCATGTGTGCATAGCTGTGAGGAGGAAGGAGGGAGGGGCCTGCCAGCAGGACCGCATGGGTGAAGCCACTCTGGCGAGGGCAGGGCAGCATCCCCAGTGCCTCGAGGGCGGCAAGGTGTCCAGTGGTACCCATCAGGAGCACAGAGGCCAGAGCCCACCCAGACCTTTGCATCTTGTGTGGACAAGGTTCCCACACAACCCTGGAGAGAGAGCAAAGACCCTGAGCTGGCAGGCTCAAGCCCAGCGCTGCCTCAGCCCATAGGGAGGCTCTAGCAGGGCAGCAGGCTGGGCTGATGAGGGACATGAGGGTCAGGCATATTGAGCATGCTCAGGTTTGCCTGAGGCTTGAGTTCTTCCACCGGCAGTCAGCTTGCAGCTGTCCTGCCCAGTACTCAGCCTGTGCTTTTCTGTGAAAGGATTTGGATGGCTTCCTCCCTCCTTTTCTCTTTCTTTCAATGCTGTGGATTGAACCCAGAACCTTCACATGGCACTGCATCCCAGCTCAAGTTAGACAGGGTCTCACTGAGTTGCTGAGCTCCCAGACCGGGCTCAAACTCCTGGTCCTTCCACGTAGGCCTCCTGAGCTCACGATCACAGGTGTGCTCCTGTACTCTGGCCAAACCTAGTTCATAACCCAGCTTCCTGGTAGGCAACACTGGTGACCCCAGGCCCACCTGTAGCAGGTCTGCCATAGTGCTCCTCCCTTTCCCCTCCAGGTCTCGGAGCTGCTACCTGACCCCCAGCTCCTGCCGGGGCCTCTTCTCTGCCCTGAGCACCTCGCAGGCCCTCACCGAGCTGGACCTCAGTGACAATGTCCTGGGGGACGTAGGGCTGCCTGTGCTGTGCGAGACGCTGCGAAACCCAGGCTGCAGCATCCGGAGGCTATGGTGAGGCACGTGTGTGCACGTGAGTGCGTGCGTGTGTGTACATGTATGTGCATGCATGCTGAGAGAGAGAGAGAGAGAGAGAGAGAGAGAGAGAGAGAGAGAATGTCTCTCCCACAGCTGAGGCTGCTATCAGGGAGGACATTTAGGGCTGGGTCCCCTGCCACCCTGCTGACTCCTCACTGTGACCCGGGGCACAGGCCATGTCCCCATACTGCTGCTTGGTGCCTGCAGGTTGGGGCGCTGCGGCCTCTCCCACCAGTGCTGCTCCGACCTCTCCTCTGTCCTGAGCAGCAGCCAGAAGCTGTTCGAGCTGGACCTGAGTGACAACCCCCTGGGCGACCTTGGGGCCAGCCTCCTGTGCCAGGGCCTGGCAGACCCCAGCTGTGCCCTTGGCAAGCTCTGGTGGGTTGCAGCCTCAGTCGGTGGGCACTCCGGGTGGGAGGGCTGGGTACAGAGTGGGGTGCTGGGAGAAAGGCAGCAGCTGGTGGGGGGCACAGTGGATGGAGGGGCTGGCTGGGGAGGGGACACTCAGAGCAGGTTAGGGAGCCCCAGAGAGGCCCCAGAGGAGGCTCCGAGGAGAAGGAAAAGAGTCTGGGATTGTGGGGCTGGCGCACTCCATGGAAAAACCCAGCAGAAAGCAAGAGGGGCTAGAGAGTGTGGTGCCGCCGTGCCTCTGTGCAGCTGCAGGTAGGGCGAGGTGCATGGGGCCACCCGTGAGGGATGCAGAGCACAGGACACCATGTGCACAGCAGTGCTTGAAGCCTCGTGAGTGGGGGAGCAGCCCGTGTGTCCTTCATGGAGCACGGGAGGGAACCGGGTGTGCACTTGCTCCGCTGCACGCAGGCCAGATGCCAGGGTGAGGCCCATGTGCCGGAGACGCCACCCTGTCCCCGAAGGAAGCCCTGCCGACCGCTCTTTGGACAGGGACAGACCTGGAAGGGCACCCACAGGGCTAGGAGGGGCAGGGAATTACCCAGGGGCTTGGGTTCAGTGCTGTAAGATGGAAGTGGCTCTGCAGCTGGGTGTCGTGAGAGGACCCTCCAGGCCACAGGCGTGTGCCCTGTAAGGAGAAGGGCAGGTCTTATTGTAGGCACGACCAAAACTACAGTGAATGTTTAAATTAAAAATTATTACAATGAAGGATGCTCTCAGCCCCCAAAGCCCTCCCCCACTTTGAGACACCCTTCCCACGTCCCGCCACTTTCAGCAGCAGCCCTGGAGCCCCGTTGCCTGCGAGTGCTTAGTTCGCCTGTCCCAGCTGCCTTGATGTCCTGAATGAATGCAGAAGTTTATCTTTTCTGTCATTTTGATTTGGTTGAGGAGCCGGGCGGTGCAAGTTGCCCTGCTGAATACCAGCGCCACACTTCGAGCTGCCTCTCCTGTAGGCGGTGCTCACGGCAGCGTTCAGTGTGCTTCTGAGCACGCTGCACAAAGTCGCTCATGCTGGGGGACCTCTAGGACTGCCTCAGAAAGTGGCACGCTCGGGGGATAAGTGTGCTTGAAGCAAGCAGCAGCGTTACGAGAGGGATTCATGGCAGTGTCCTTTATGGTGATGAAAAAGTTAAAATGTTCTGTATAGTTTGATGAAACCAGATGTCTTAGTCACCTTTCTCATTGCTGAGGCAAGACATCTGGCACCTGAAGTGAGAGGAGGAAGGTTTATTTGGCTCACTGTGTGCAGAGGTTTCAGCTGGAAGCGACCGGCTCCAGGCAGGGTGGCCTGGCAGAGGGGCATGGCGGAGAACAGTCTGTGGCAGGGTAGCGGGCAGCGAAGCAGCGGAGGTCAGAAAGCCCTTCGTAGCCCTTGTCATGGCCCAGGAGGTTCATGTTTGCAATCTCGTGGAGAAGTTATTAGAATTGTAAAGAGTTAACTCCAGCCTATCCCCTCCAGTGCAACCCTCGGCATAAAGACATGACAATATACCCTTGGTGGAGCCCAGGGCTCCTGAGTCCAGCTGTTCTGATGACTAACTGGAACAAAGGCCTTTACTCAGGACCGAGCCCTGATTTTATTCATGCATGAGCAAGGGTATGGCTTGAGGATGAGTGACTGGGCAAGTGGCAGGAAGCAGGAAGCAGGCGAGCGCCGTGAGCCGGGCTGGGCAGGAGGCCTGCGTTCACCTCCGCCGTGAACC